CTCCCGGCCCCAGGCCTCCACCCCCCCCCCCCAGCTTCTCCAGCTCGCCTCACCTCCTCCTCACTCTAAGCTCACACGGATCCATCGCCTTGCACGTCCCCCAGGTCTCCTCTGATAGCAACACAGGCTTTTTCTCTTGTGGTGAAACATACGTAACAAAAGTCACCGCTTTCACCACGTTTAAGCGCACAGAGGAGTGGCACTCGGTACCAAACACTGTTGTGCGGCCGCCGCCACCATCCATCCACAGGCCATTTCGATTTTCTCCAACTGAAACTGTGCCCTAGAACCCAACTGCCCACGCCCCCCAGCCGCCAGCCCCCAGCCTTCCACTCTGTGTCTATGAATTTGACTGCGAATCCAGATGATTTTTTTAAGTTTTTTTACAGACCAGACCCTTCAGTCACCTTGCTGAAGCCCTGCCCGAGCCACAGCCGGACATGACTACTCCCGTGGGACCCAGAAGGAACTGAGGGTCAAAGGAAGGAAGCGATTGCCTCCGGTCCCTTAGTTCAAACCTGACTCCAAAGCTCGAGTGCTTTGCTCTGCACCAGCGGCTGCTAAGCTACCATGAAGCACTGGGGCCAAGCCCAGCCCGACAATGGATTTTGCAAATAAAGTTTTATTGGGGCACAGCCCTGCCCCTTTGTTGGCATATGTGTGGCTGCTTTCCCACAGTGGCAGCAGAGACGGTCTGGCCCGCAACGCCGGACATGTCTGCGACTCGGCCCTTTCTAGAAAAAGCTGGCCGACCTCTGTTCTGTCCACCGTGAGGCCCCACATTCTAGGGGGCCCGGCGCCGTGGCTCGCCCCGCCTGTGGACCCGGCAGCCTGGTGGCAGTCTTACCAATACAGTTGCCTAGAGCATCTTGTATAAAGCCGCTCTTGCACTGTAGCTTGGGTCGGCAGCGGAAGGATCCCAGAGTATTCTGACAGATAAAATCGGGGAGGCAGTTATGAATACCACTCTCACACTCGTCAATATCTGGTACATCATAAAAAAAGGAAATGGTTAGCAAGAGTCCTGCCAGAAGCATCTCACAACACTTTAACATCACAAGCACGTTTCTAAGAAATGCTCATTACTCAGCTCCAACCCCAAACATTTCAATCGGGAGGTCACGGACTAGAGGGGCCGGGGGGAGCCAAGCGGGGCTTGCGCTGCTAACGGCTTAAAAAAACGCTGGCTTCCCCCCAAGGCTCTCAGGAGACCAGCTTTCTGTTACATAATAAATAACCCGGCCATTCTCCTGGCAACATGTGGCCGTTTGATTCTCATTTCGGGCTGCGCACATGTTTTGCTTAGATCAGAAAGCGATGATCTTCGTGGCAATAAACACTGTCTCTATAAACTCATTCATCCCGGACTTGTCATAATATGACAAACATGAACAATGGTGATTCTCAGGATCTGAGTGTTGGCTGCCCTTCCCTTGAAGTTCAAGGCTGTCAAACGCTCAGAAGTGTATACTCC